CGATTTTTTTCAATCGTTAAACTCAGCTACAGCTGCATGATCATAACACCGTAGGATGAAACTGCAGGATGCGAGTTCACAGCTCAACATGTTTGTCCTCACACTGAGCAACCCGACGCTCTGATGCGATCTACCTGCTCACACTACCAGAGCATGGGGGCGGAGCCTGGAGACAGCGGTGGAGCGGAGTGAAAGAAATATGGTGGAGCGCAGAGGGGCTTTTCCTCCACTCCAGTTCACTCTGATGCGCTCACAATGTCAATTAAAAAATTTGGATTATAAAATTTTTAAAATACCATTTATTTGATTAAAAGTAGTTTAGTAAAATAAATGACTAATTAAATAGGAAATGCGGAGCAGCATGGATGGGGCGAGGTGTGAGACAATCCACATGAATAGTCATGTGTCCCAGGACCCTGGCATCATTACAGGAAGAAAGACATGTCAGAAAATGCCTTCTGCTGAAAATTTGAGCGAGCGTCGAGTGATTTCACCAGAGCGGCAGGAAAATAAAGGTGAGCGCAGAGCGGATTCTGTGCGTCCTAGCTCTACTTTTTGCGGCGGAGCGAATGAGCAAACATCCTCCAGAGCGGGGAGCAGGAATTGCGCGGCTCTACGCTCTATTCACATGCTCTCCACTGTACGTCTAAAAACCAAGTGGGACTGAGCTCTGCAGTGAGGTGGCGCTACTCAGACTCATCAATCCGGAAGCCAAACCAGTAGAAGAGGAATATGAAGTTCACTAGAGTGAAATGCGCTTCCTCTAAGTGGAAGAAGAATCCTTGTTTGCCCGCTGAGCGATTTGCCAAAGACCACCTAACGATTTTCTCCTGACCTCACGATATCTGATGCTAAGGTGGTCGTTAGAGGCTGATCGCCCTTCGTTTACCCCCTGTCCACTACACCACGCACCATCAGGCTGAAAGTCGGCCCGATCGAAAATTCTGGCACGACTGGAGAATCAGCCCAAAAAAGGCAAAAAGATCGACAGCGAACGCCCGGCTTAATGGAGAGAGGCTGCTAGGCTGGTCTGAAGGAGCCGGAGATCAGAGGAAGAGATGAAACATTAGAAAGAAGCTGGTCAGCAGGCAGAGAAAGTCTCTGATCATTTTAACAGATAATCAGGTTTCTTATTATTGAGAAGGACATGAAAACACCTGCTAATTATTTTAATTGGAATGTAAATAAAAGCATTTCATTGTTATCATGATGCCTCTTCGTCCTTTTACATCTTTTTCCAGGAAAAGTAAAACCTGAAAATCCAAACTTTAGCTGAGTCTGAATATTTACTGAGCAACTAAGAATAAAACAACAAAGAACATCAAAGCAACAGGAAAGGGAAAGATGAAAGCATCTGGAAAATTTTAAAATCTACAGAGACATTAAGGCGCAGAAAAACATGACGGAGGAACAAAACACTTGGAAAGACATTAGGAGAGAATTTTCTACTTCTACATGTGTTGTGTTAGAAGATTGCAGGAACAACACTGCCCCCTAGGGTCCACCAGAATATGACGCACAGCAAGAAAACTGAACTCAATATAAACCTTCAAATATAAACTGAAAGGGGGGTCGTTAAAGGGAATTGTTGGCCTGGCTGAAGAGGTGGGGTCTTCTGTTTTCCTGTAAAGGGTAGGGGTGTAAATAATAATAATTTTGTATGGATGCATCGATTTTTTTTCTTCCCTCCAGTCTATTTTTATCATTTTGCTGCTGGACGTAATTTTGACTCCCGCGCTGCAGTTGCGTTAAACCTGTTTTGCCCTCCTACCTCGCTTCCTTTAGCCACTGCCCTCTTTCCGCTCACAGTATTTTTTGATGCAAAGCCTTTCAGAATCTATGTCGCAGGGGCATTATTATTCTTCAGTGAATGAGGTTTTCATAGGCCTAGGTGGTGTACAACTTTTCTACTTCTGTTATTTACTGTTGTTTCTCAAATAAAATGTATAACAATATTACAGCTTTTATTGATTTATTTCAAATTTGAAACATTGTCTAGCCTGTAAGGTTAAAAAAAAGAATTAACCAATTAATCGAATCGAATGGTATGGTCGTGTATTCTTCAGTATCGAAAATAATTGAATCGTTGGGTCAGGAAATTGATATTGAATTGAATCTCCGTTACGGGTGTGATTTACACCCCTAGTAAAGGGGTTGGGGCTGCGATGATAGCGGGAAGGAATCAACTCTATCGCTGCATTGTAGGTTTTTGAAAGCTGAAATCTGAATCCACCCCCCCCTCTGTTTAAGGTTGTTTTTATTTCTTAACAGATGGCTTCCTTCACACCCTCTCAAACAAACTTTTTTCTTTCAGCAATTGAGTTGATTCCTTCCCGCTATTATCACAACCCACACCCCTTTAGAAAGGAGCACCTCGCCTCTTCAGTCAGGCCAACTATTCCCTCTAATAACCCCCTTTCAGAGACATAGACAGGTATGGGGCATTGCAGGCTAATAAAGAAGCCAAACGACCCCCATTCCAAAGGAATAGATCCTTTCGTCCATTTTAATTTGCATGGTTTCTAAACAAAACCCAGGCTTTGTTGGGCTGCTGGATAAAACCTGGAACTCAACATTTTGAATTGAAAAAGCTTCCTGGATGCAAAAATTCGTTCATTTTTCAGGTTTAATGCATGTCTACTGTGATGGATCAGGGTTGTTATGATGTGTTAGTAAGCAGGCGGGGAGGCGCAGCAGAAAGCAGAAGCGTGGCGGTACTCTCCTACCATGGGGTTGGCGCTCAGTCTAGTGTATCCCGAGTTCATCTCCTTTACCTCAGGCACCAGGGGCTGCAGCAGGGAGTAGGAGGAGGACGGGGCGGCATTAGGGGGCGGGACGTGTTTGTTGGTCGATGAGCTCCTCATACTCTGCTGGCCGCTCTGAGAAGACACGGGGCTGGGTCGGCCCTGCTGGGACAGAAACAGAACCCCCTCAGCGTGCCGCCGTGATTCTGAGGAGTCCTCCTCTGATGCTCCCACGTACCTGGTGAGGGTCCGGCACTGGCTGCCCAGCCACAGCGCCCCCCTGCCCGCCCTGGGCCATGGCTGCCACGCAGTGGGAGGGTAGCGGTTCCTGCTGGGCGTGTCCTCCATGCTGCGCCTGCATCATCGAGTTAGCATTGTTCTGCTGCTGCTGCTGACGGCGCGGAGTCGCAGAGAAATTGGATCGACGACCGCCAGTCTGGATTGAAGACCAGCAAAGAAACAGAAAGAGAGCAGAAATTTTATACACCTCCATCGCTCCTGCCGTACTCACAGCAGCCATGCAAAGCAGATCACAGAGAAGTGACTGATGAGGGTGACTTCGCCTCAGCTTCCCTCTCACGTCTCAGACTCTTCCTCTCTAAGCCCTGCATACTTTAAACCCAGAAAAATGAGATGGTGTCAAAATGCACAAACGCACAAACACGGCCACTCACACAGACGTTCACTAAAACCTGAGGCTTTGAACGCATCTGATTCACCGGGGAACGTTTAAGGATGGTTCCTTCAGCTTGGAGATGGTTACCCGGCTTTAAAGTCCCATTATTATTACCGGTAACCATAGAAACTAACTAGGATGGGTTTTAATCAACCTTTT